GCGTTGACAGAGAGGAGAAGGTAGAAATGACTCAGCCTGGAACTGAAAATATGGATGGAGGACAACAGAGCTGCTTCATGGAAGAACAACCTGATTTTGTAATAAACCTGTTGTTTTATTACAAATAGCAGAGATACAGGACACAGTCACACAATAAAAGTCATGCTCAAATAAGTTGTTTTATGGTATTTAACAGACATTTATCATCATTAAATTATAAATGAATTAGAATAGAAATCTTCTGTGTTGTCCCTCAGTAGCAGTGACAGACATTTTACATAGTAAAAATATGAGAAAATGTTTGAATAAGGAAATAAAATAATTTTAAAGATTGAAATAAATGTATTATAACAAACATGTTTACATATACACATTTACACACACAGTTTACATCTAACCCTGTTGATTTGCAATAAGTTCAGTCATTTAATTTAAAAACAATTTTTTATACACAAGAAAAAATATAAATCACAAGAAAAATGAAAGGCAGCAGAGGGGAGGAAATAAATTCACGCTACAAGCCAAAGTAGATAACTGTGGCTTGAACCAGACAACTATTATGAAATAATTCATTGATTAAATTTTAATAAATTGTGTTTATTTAAAGCAATATAAGCTTACTAAATGTGTCTAAATTGTGAAATACCGTTATTAAAAATGACTGACAAGGCAGCAAAAAACAAACAAACTAAGGACACTTGAGCTAAAGAGAAGAACGTGGACAACACCAAACAATGACAGGATGAGAAAATAGATGAATGAAGCAGTAATACAGCAACGAGTGGAAAGCAGAGACATCTGGGATGATTACAGGTGCAAACAGGTGAGAGGAACGATCAGGAAAGACCCAGAAAAAAGACTGAGGAACAAGATGAGCCTGGAGAACAAGACAAACACCAGAGGGAGACAGAACACAAGACATGACACACCAGATCCTCACAAATACAAGATTTCTTCTCTAAATCCTTTAAAATTTAATTCCTTCTTCATACATTTTCTTATATTTTTACCCTGTGTCAATCGCCTGTCAATTTGTCAAATAGTACTAGCAGTGGTAGTTACTATGAACCCATGTATGTCCATTTTTTCCCAGACATGCAAATATTTAAGGATTTAATTTAAGAAGTTATCTAAGTATGTCAAATATGTGGAGCACAATAATTTTATTATTTAAAAGGATTACAAAGGAACCAATTTTACTTGGTAAGATTCTTGAAATAAGAAAAAATTGAGTCAAATCAAGTATTTCTATCAGCTTGATTCATGCTGGACTTTTCTATCAGGCTCTATAGCGCCTCTAGTGTTCAGACATGGAACTGCATCCAGCATCGCTGGATGCAGTTCCATGTCTAAACACTAGAGGCGCTATAGAGCCTGAT